TCGTTTTATTCTTCAGTCTAGTTGTGGAGGACGTCGCTTCACTGGCCCAAGTTGGCACCATCATTGCGCTCTTCCCGGGCGAGGCACATCAGTCGCCGGCTTCTGGACGGCTGCTCACTGCGGCTGCTGGCCGCTTACGCTGGCTGCCGGCCACATACAGTAGCCCATGGCAACCCACTGCCACAGGGGCTGCAGCCTATGCCGTCACCGGCGACCCACGGCAGCCCAGCTCCAGGTCGAGCTGCTGTTCAGCATCTCAGTTGCGGAGGGCAGCATCACTGGCCCTCACATATGGGATCCGAACCGGGGCCCTCTGGCGTCCCAAGCCAGCTCTTAACCATGGTGCCACTCGGCCAGCCCATAGTTGACATATTTTTCACTTTTAAGAATGAGTCTTGGGCCAGCCGAGTGGTGTGTTGGTTAGGAGTTGGCTTGGGATGCCAGCTCTGAGCAGCAGGGCCCTGGTTCAGATCTCACATGAGGGCCAGTGATGCTGTGCCCTCTACAGCTAAGTTGGTGAACAACAGCTCAACCTGGAGCTAGGCTGCTGTGAGTCGACGGCGATGGCATAGGCTGCAGTGGGGCTGACCAGCAGTGGGCGTGAGCTTTCTTGAGCTGCTGTGAGCCACCATGAGTGGTTGTCCAATGGCTGGCAAATGACTGCCTCACCCGGGAAGAGCGCAATGATAATACCAATATGGGCCAGTGAAGCGAAGTCCTCCACAACTAGACTGAAGAACAAAAGGACAGCAACTTGTCTGTTCCCCTTAGCCGATTCCCCAACACTGTTCTGCTCCCCCAATTCCCAAATAAAATCTTTAAAAAAAAAAAAAAAAGAAAAAAGAAAGAAAAAAATGAGTCTTTAGGGACGTCTGGTTAGCTCAGGTGGTGAGAGTGCAGGCTCATAACATCAAGGTTGTCAGTTCCATTCCCACATGGGCCAGTGAGCTGCATCCTCCACAACTACATTGAAGATAACAACCTGACTTGGAGCTGATGGGTCCTTGAAAAACACACTGTTCCCCAATAAAATTTCTTTAATAGAAAAAAAAGAAGAATGAGTCTTTATTAATACATCACCTTTAAGATTATCTAGTCTTATCATTTCATTTGGCAGAAAATTTAAGCCTAGAAAAGTTAAGTGATTTATCTAGGCACACCCAGCAAGTTTGTGGTATGGCCAGAATTGGAATCCAGGTCTTTGATTTGGTTCAGGGCTCCTTCTTATACATTATTTTTCTCCTCCTTTATAGAAAGGCTGAGGAGTGGAGAAACTTTAAGGTAGAAAGATAGGAGCCAGCTGACAACTGAAGATCAATCAAGTCAGATATATTGCCTCTGAAGTGATGTTTATAAGTCAGGATGCTTCAGTTTGAAAGCCAGGCTTCTATTCACCAAGTATTGATTTCTGCACTTTTCAGGAATGCAGGAACTGTGCAGGGCAGAGGTCCATTTCCCTTTCCTCTGCAGTCATGTGCACCACTTAACTCAGTGTTGTGAGCACATTATTCCCCTGCCTTTAACCTAATGGGAGACAAACTCTCACTTGCCATATCTTCTGCAGGAACTGGACACAAGTGATTCTCAAACTGAGTGAGCTCTTTAAACTGAGATAAGGATGCAAGCCATGTGGGCTTTAGGATAGAAGAAGGGGAGTTTGATCCCATAGTGAGGTATGAGGGTCCCTGCAA